AACCTGATAGGCTGACTCTGAAGCGTATCACAAAAGAATAAATGTACAGGAACAGTCAACACAATTTTCCGAAGACAACGATGAAGGGGGGAACTACGATGCTACGTACAGAGGTTAAAACAGCACCCCGGAGGGGCGCCTGGGTGGCTCAGTCGGTTAAACGGCCGACTTTGGTTCAGGTCGTGATCTCACAGTTCGTGGGTTCGAGCCCCGTGTCGAGACCCATGTCGGGCTCCGTGCTGACGGTGTGGAGCCTGCTTGGGATTCTTTCTCTCTCCCTCTCTCTCTCTCTCTCTCTCTGCCCCTCCCCCCCAAAGTAAATAAATAAACTTAATTAAAAAAAAAAAAGGGCACACTGGTACAGAAAGACACCAACGGGTCAACGGAGCAGGACACAAGGTACCAGAATCAGGAGCCATGCCATCCGTGGACACTGCACATGAAAGTGTGAGTGGTATTTTAAATGAATGAGGATATGATGGGCCTTTCTGTCAAGGTGTTGGGACAACTCCCTATCCATTTATAGGGGTGTAGGGGCACACCAGGGACCATCCAGATCCCTACCTCACACGTTATACCTCCCCAAAATTGGATAAACCAATGTCCGAATACCAAACATAACACCAAACAATAACACCAAAACACCAAACAATAACAGCCCTGGAAAAAAATTAAGGAAGAGGTGTTTATAATCTGGGGGTAGAGAAACAAAGCATAAAACCCAGAAAGCTTAAGGGAATAGACCCAGAGTTTTGATTACGTGATACTTTTTAATGCCTTTACAATAACAAACCACCAGAAATATGGGTGAAAGGCCACAGATCAGAAGAAGACTCTGGAACAAATATAGAGTTACTCTCCATGCCAAATAAATAGCTCTTGCAAATCAGTGAGAAAGATGAACAACTCAACAGAGAAATTTTATTAAGTTTATTTATTTACTTTATATCCACACTATGAAATACTACGTAGCTTTTAAAAAGATCTGAAAGTAAATGGGGCTCAGTCAGTTAAGGGTCCAACTTCGGCTCAGGTCACGATCTCACGGTTCGCGAGGTCAAGCCCCGCGTCAGGCTCTGTGCTGACGGCTCGGAGCCCGGAGCCTGCTTTGGATTCTGTGTCTCCCTCTCTCTCTCTGCTCCTCCCCCACTCGTGCTCTGTCTGTCTCTCAAAAATAAATAAATGTTAAAAAAATTTTTTTTAAAGATCTGAAAGTAAAGATACAGGAAATGCTGAAGATATGTTAGCAAGTAAAAAAGGCTACAGCCACAGGCAGACGGTGATTGGGCTTATGTGTAAAATAGGAGCCTGTGTTCAAAATAACATAATCCACTTGCTACAACACGTGTTAAAAGTCTGGTCATAGGCAGTAAACAAGCAACAGGAACCGCGGTACATAGTTCAGCCGTTCCTACGTATTCCTGTGTGTCTCACATTTAAATATCCGTACACATCGGCAGCTCTCCCTGTCCATGGGTCCTATCCCCTTGCTTTAACAACATCATCTTTTTTGCACCAATAAAAAATAAGCAAATACTGGGGGCGCCTGGGTGGCGCAGTCGGTTAAGCGTCCGACTTCAGCTGACATCACGATCTCTCAGTCCGTGAGTTCGAGCCCCGCGTCGGGCTCTGGGCTGATGGCTCAGAGCCTGGAGCCTGTTTCCGATTCTCTGTCTCCCTCTCTATCTGCCCCTCGCCCGTTCATGCTCTGTCTCTCTCTGTCCCAAAAATAAATAAACGTTGAAAAAAAAATTTTAAACTTTAAAAATAAGCAAATACTTGTACGTATGTGTGAAAGAAAACGGGTAACAAATACGTATGGAGATGCTCGATCGGCCATCGGGAAGACGCAAATCAAAACCACAACGCGGGACCGGGATGACCGGAAGCAAAACAGAAAACAAAACCAAACAAGAGGTGACGGGGATGCGGAGAAATCGCCCGCTGCTAGGCTTGTAAAAGGCGGCACGCTGAAGGAGACAGTTCGAGGGAGCCTCAAAAAAACTCAAGCCCGGACTGACACGTGGTCCAGCAACCCCACGTCCGGCCGTTCGCCCCAAAGTGGAGGCAGGGACCCAGACGGAGGCATGCACAGCCGCATCCTCAGCAGCATCGTTCACAAGAGAGGCGTCGACAGCCCGGTGTCCCCAGCCAGCAGGGGAACAGACGAGCAAAGCCGACGTGCCCTCTCCGAACAAGGAAACATTCCTCAGCCATACAGGGGAACGGCGTTCTGTCGCCCGCTGCAACTTGGATGACCCCGAAAACACCACACTGAGTGAAATAAGCCAGACGCAAAAGGACAACCACGGGATGATTCCACAAAGACGAGGTAGGGACCACAGGCTGGCCCACAGCCACGGGAAAGCGGAAGAGAGGTTACCAGGGGCCATAGACAGCGGACGATGGGGTGTGACCCCCTTCATGGGCACGGTTTCTGTTTCAGGTAACAGAAAATTCTGGAAATAGATAGTGGTGATGGTTGCACACCCTTATGAATGCAATTAATGCCACTGAATCATACATTTAATGTTTGTGTTTTTTTTGAGAGAGAGAGAGAGAGAGAGAGAGAGAGAGCAAGGGAGGGGCAGAGAGAGAGGGAGACACAGAATCCGAAGCGGGATCCAGGCTCCGAGCCATCAGCACAGAGCCCGATGCGGGGCTCGAACTCACAAGCCGTGAGATCATGACCTGAGCCGAAGTCGGAAGCTCAACCGACCGAGCCACCCAGGCGCCCCAGAATCATACATTTAAAAGTGGGGAGGGGCACCTGGGTGGCTCAGTCGGTTGAGCGGCCAACTTCGGCTCAGGTCATGATCTCGCAGTCCATGAGTTTGAGCCCCACGTCGGGCTCTGTGCTGACAGCTCAGAGCCCGGAGCCTGTTTCAGATTCTGTGTCTCCCTCTCTCTGACCCTCCCCTGTTCATGCTCTTTCTCTGTCTCAAAAATAAATAAACGTTAAAAAAAATAATAAATTAAAAAAAAAAAGTGGGGATGGGGCGTCTGGGTGGCTCAGTCTGTTGAGTGTCCAACTTCGGCTCAGGTCATGATCTCACAGTTTGTGGGTTCGAGTCCCCATCGGACTCTGTGCTGACAGCTTGCTCAGAGCCTGGAGCCTGCTTCAGATTCTGTGTCTCCTTCTCCCTCTCTGCCCCTCCCCCGCTCATGCTCCGTCTCTCTCTGTCTCTCAAAAGTAAATAAATGTTAAAAATTAAAAATTAAAAATAAATAAAAATAAAAGTGGGGGAAAAACAGGCCGGGAGGGCAGAGCTGGGGAGACCATGCTCTAGACCTGACAGTGCAGGATCCCAGGAGGGGGAGGGAGACCCCTGAGGACCCTCAGGGAAGCCACACAGCCCAGTGGAACAGGAGCAGGGAGCAGCAGGCCCAGAGAGTGTGGCACACAAGGCCCTCCCTGCAGGAGACCACCCCCGCTCCCCAAAGACCCCCAAAGGGAGAAAACTGGAAAACTTCACGCGGGAAAATGCCTCCAGAGTTTAGGGCCAGCTGGTTTCTTTTTACAAAAAAAGGAAACTGAGGTTCATGGAACGGAAGTGTACCCAGGGCCCCACAGGGAAGGGCCCAGTGTGTGTGTGCCATTCTCACGGGCTCCTGCCAGGGAGAGGAGCCTTAACCAGGCGCCCCTGAGACCCCCAAGAGGCTGAAAACCACTCTCCCCCCTGAGCGAACCTTTGCTTCCCCTTAAACGCTAGAAAACGACATCAAGGCAAACTGAAAGCACTCAAGAAACGTACACTAAATACCAACCAAGAAGCGGGTAAGAAAATACCCAGAAAGTCCAGTATCCCCCCACCCCTGCACAAGGGCTCAGACGTGACCTCACCATGAAAACCTCCCAGGGGAAGAGAGACCTCGAGCAAGAAGGACACGGGACAGTGGACATGTGACTCTGGGCACGGACTCCATCCGGACCTGAGGTTCCAGGGCCACACGGCTGCCGCCACCCCAAGAATGTGAGGTGAGCGCTCCCCTGGCCGGCGGGCGGCAGGGCGGGGAGGGGGGTCGTGGAGGGTTAACCGTCCCCAGTTAACAGATGACGGGGCTGCTCAGGGATGAGCAGGACATATATGCACAAGGGCCCCACATGGCTCGGGGGAGCGCGACACCCTTACTTGCCAGGGAAGGGTCAGCAGCCAGCTTCAGGGCGACCAGGCACCCCTCGGGGACAAGCCCGTGCCACACCCAGACCCCCAACAGGTCTCACCACTCCTGGCCGCCCTCCCAACCCCCCCCCTCCCCCCACAAGGCGGTCTCACCTTGACTCTGACCATGCCCTCCAGCACTTTGAAAGGAAACCTGGGAACCTAGGGCGGGACTTTTTTATGTCCTTCCAGTGAGGCCTGTCTTGGGAGAAGAGCCTCCTGGCCGCTCCCCATGGACACTGGCTCCCTGAACCCCACAAGCCAGATGCCACAGCTCACCTTTGCGGGTGAGGAAACGGAGGCCAAGGCCAAGAACTAGCCAACCACTCCCAGAGCTGAAGAGAAAGCAGAGACCAGCCTGGCCCAGTAGCAGGAGGGACCCCGCCGCTGTCTCAACAGGTCACACTGGGACCCACGCTGTCCCCGGACAGCCCCCAGGGCGCCTGTCTCACACCACTGCTTTCTAAGCAAATGTGCCAGCAGGCCCCCGACGCGGCCCCTCACCGCCACCAGAGCCTCCGCGATCCGAGAGCGTGTCAAGTGACTGTCCGAGAAGCCGCACAGGCCACAAATGTCCAGCGTCTCTCAGGGCTTTGGCAATACTGAACACAGCGCTAAGCCCACCTCTCGGCATCGCCCCTCCCGGAGGCCGCCACCGGCCCTTGGCTTGGCCCCGGCCTCGGCCACCAGCTCTGACGTCTCTGAACCGAGCTGTGGACCTCAGGACAAATCCGTTCCCTCCCGGCCTTGAAACCGCTTGCCCTGTTCCACACCCCACTCGGGACACCGTGGCCTGCGCCTGCCGAGAGGTCCCCAACCAAGATCGATCCGTGTATGGGTGAGCGGATGAGCACGATGCGATCTACACGGTGACCGCTGCTTCTCCCCCCCCCCCCCCCCCCGCTGAAAAGCAACAGAATGCTGACACAGGCTACCACACGGAAGCACCCAGAAAACGTGACACGCGGTCACAGAAGCAGCCAGATGCAAGAGGCCTCCGTGTCGTATGACACGATGTATATGAAACATCCGGAACACGCAACTGCATTGGGACAGACAGCAGGCTGGGGGCAGGTGGGGGATGGGAACTTACCGTTTAACGGGTGTGGGGTTTTATTTTGGGGAGGTGGACACGTTTGTAACCAGACTGCCGCAGTGGTTGCCCAGTGTAGTCGTGTACTTACGGGCAGTGGACTGTATGCTTTAAAAAGGTTAATTTCGGGGCGCCTGGGTGGCGCAGTCGGTTAAGCGTCCGACTTCAGCCAGGTCACGATCTCGCGGTCTGGGAGTTCAAGCCCCGCGTCGGGCTCTGGGCTGATGGCTCAGAGCCTGGAGCCTGTTTCCGATTCTGTGTCTCCCTCTCTCTCTGCCCCTCCCCTGTTCATGCTCCGTCTCTCTCTGTCCCAAAAATAAATAAACGTTGAAAAAAAAAATTTTTAAAAGGTTAATTTGATATTACAGGATTTTCACCTCAATTAAAAAAAAAAAAAATCAATTCATCACCTTTCACCTAGGACAGATCTGGCTCCAGCCCGCATTTCCTATCCCCCGGACTAAATTCTTCCAGAAGCTCCCATTGCCTTCTGGATCATGTCCAATCCTTGCGTCGTGATCTGGCCTCTTTCGGGGGAGGACACCACCTGGTCCCCGAGGACGGGACTCAGGGACAGTGAGGAAGAGCCTCCCTGGGCCCACCTCTCCCTTAGCTGCACAACCAGCTTCTGCGTGCCTGTCTGCCCCTGTAGGCAGAACATTCTGACGGCAAAGGCACACTCATGTGCCATTCTAGCCCCGCGCTTTACTCGGCACCAGGGGCCAAAGAGTCCTAAGAGCTGACCAGGTGCCAGGCAGGTGTTAACTCACTGAATTAGCGGTCAGAAGTATTATTATCCCATTTTACAGGAGAGAAAACTGAGGGACACGAAGGTGGGCTCAGCGGCGCAAGTTCCCCCACATGGCAACCACCACGGCTGACGACAGACCCTGAGTACTCAGGCTCCGTCCACCCTGTCAATCACCTCAAGAGACAATAAGCGAGCGTTGCGTCAATAAGCGAGTCAGGACAGAGGACTAGATACCCAAGGTCGCTTGCAGAAGAACAACCCAGACTGTGGAAATATGGCTTTTGGACGTCCCGGCCAGAAAGATCAAGGACTCTATCACACAAGAGGCAATGCAGTTCAGCTGCCACCGGTCTCACACCGAGGCCCCCGGCCGGGGACGGTCCCAACCGCCTGGGGTGGGGGGTGGGGAGAACCAGACGAAGACCCTGGACACAGAGAAGCCAAGGAAGTCGTCCAAAGCCAAACAGCTCCCGAGCACGTAAACGCAGGCTGGTCTGACCCCAAAGCCCCCACGCTTCGCTTCGGGGCAGGAGGCCTTGCTGAGTCCTCACCTGACTGCACCCGCACCCCCAGCAGCGTGCAAATTCTGCTAAATGCCTGAGCGGTGAAACAGCGCAGCTGAAATTAAATGGGTTCCAAATGCGACAGGATCTCCACAGCAAATGTGGGATCATACCGGTGGACTGGGTAAATTCTTGGGTTTGAAGGGGAGAGTTAAAAGCACGTGGGCCCTGCTTTTGAAAAGCAGCGGCAGTGGGGGAGGGCGGGGGCTCCTCTCTCGGTGGCCTCCGGCCTCCGCCCAGCCCAGCATTTCGTTAACTCAGCACCCACCTGCTGGGCCCTTCCAGTGGGCCGGGCAGTAGGCATCTACAGGAACCACCCACAGGCGGTTGGGCGGTGGGGGGAGGTGGAGAGGGGGTCCTGGACAGGTGGTCCCTACAGCAAGTGCTGTGGGGCCAGAGGGGAGCGGTCTGGGCCTGTGGAGCTGAGCCGGGGAAAGCCATTCCCAGCACCGGGGCCACTAAAACAAAGGCATTTCCGTGGGCTCACAGCTTCAAATTGCAACAGGAAGCAATCAGGAAAAATAATTAGGTGCCAGCTTACTGGCTCTACTCCGGACCAACGCAGAAATCTAACGCAGAAATTTGGGACAGTCAAGACAGTGGTGCAGAAAGGGTACTTCCTCCTCCTTCCATTTTAGGATCGGATTGCCACATTAGCCGGGGATCTAAAACCCTCACGCTGACATGCTTCCTAATGTTAAAATGATCAACTCTATCTTTGCCTCATACGCGACTGAACTCCACAGACGTGATTCCTTCCCCTTGGGGGCTTGAACCACAAAACGGCAGGCATCCGACTCCAGCAACGTCACCCCAAAAGGGACAGGAAATCCCAAACTGCACCGAAGTGAAAAGCACTATGGCTGGCTGAGAAACCCCACCTTTAAAACAAACATCTCCCCCCCCAACCAAAAAAAAAAAAAAAAAAAAACCTTTTGCCTCCGTGATCCAGGCATTTCCGGAAAGAAAAGCAGCAGCGTTGGTCTGAGCTGCCCAGATACTGTCATTGCTCTGTCGTCACCTTGTTTTGCTAGTATCAGACATGGCTGAGAAATGTAAACCCGCTCCGGAGGGAGATACATTTGGGGTGAAACCGCCGACATTCTCTAGGCTTCGGCTGGGAGGCAAGCGGACGGGAGGAAACTGTCCCCTCTACGCCCCCCCAAACCTCAGGGAAGGGGCTGCAGCCCTGGGAAATGTGACCACAGAGCCTGGCCGGGACACCTCCCTGCAATGTCCACACTGGAAATATTCAGGGAGACAGCTGTTTGCCTTAAAGAGGCCCAGACAAAGGGACCTGAGCCACCCGCTCCCACCCCACCCCCCAAAAAACTGCTACCGGCAGCAACACAGCAGCCCGGGGAGCCCAGGACTCCGTGGCCCCGTCCAAGGCGGCCGGCCACACTCCAGAAAAACAAAACACTCGCGTCCGAAGAGAACGATTTAGGTAGCGAGAGATTTGCTCCAAAACCACATGGCAATCTCCAAATTAAAAGAACATGTGTAGCGTTTCACAACGCTTAAGTTTCCTGAGCCCTCCTGACCTCAACTCCACCCCTCGGGACACACCGAAAGTTGCAGAGAAAGGTCCCCGGGCCCTCGATCTGTCCCCCAGGGTGTGCACAATCGAGGCACCCGCGCGCTTCCCGACCGCGCCGCGCTCCGCGACCACGTCACCCCGCGCGGCGGCCCCACGAGGCCACCCCCCGGGGTGGACACCGGCCGGGTGCCACCGCGGGGAGGAGGGAGGGGGGCGGGCAACGGCCCCACGGGTCCGCCGGGCACCCGGCAGGTGTCGGTCCGCTCGGAAACCGACAGCCTCGCCGGCGAAACGGGGCGGCGCGACAGGCCAGGCCGCCCGGCGCCGGGTCTGAGAACTTTCTGTGCAACTTCGATCAGTTCTCGGGGCCGGCGGGCCAGCCGCGCGGCCATCGGAAACGGGCTCGCCGAGGAGTCCGCGACGCAGGGCGGCGAGGCCTGCCTCCCGGCCGACAGTCCCCGCCGTGCGCCGGCCCCGCGGCCCGGGGTCCGC